TTTTAGTGTACCTTTTTTTGCAGTTATCTAACTCACGGTGAACAGAACATCTCCGAATTAGTTTCCTCATTTGCATTGTTCCGAAGCATTCAAGAATGAATTTATCACGATTGCAATGTCATGTCATACACAAACATCACTAATCTTATTATCTGAAGATAACTGCAGTCGTCACTATTCACTGTATTCGATCTATCCGATATTTTGAACTCTTTTTAATTCTGCTGCGATTGCTGGACTAATCACCCGAGTTAATTGGGAAAATGATATTCACTAGAGTGGTTTTATTATTTTTAAGGTAAAACTCAGGTGGCATACTCTTGAGTAGGAAATGTCCAAGTGATTCAAAAAAAAATTACCTTGAAGACTCTTGGAGGTGCGATCCGCGTTACGGTGAGCCATACCTCACGCGGCTCGCTTTTCCAACACAACAGAATGTCCAACCCTGCTCTAACTTGTCAAGGGTTCGTCTAAACGACGTACGCAAAAACCAACATCAACCAAAAAAAAAACATTCGCAAGAAAACGCCGTAAGAGAAGAACGATAATATAACGAAGAACGAGGAAAATTAGAGGGTTTTTCATCGGTCAAAGAGAGACGTTTCAGAGCGGTGCGATATCATATTTCCGAGAGAAGATCACGTTTCAACAGAGAGACTGCAAGCGAGTGCCCAACAACTGTGTTTGTTTGCAGTTTCAAAAGTTTCAAAACTGATGAATGTACACATGTTAATAACATTTTTTCAATCATTCGTTTAAGCAAAATAAATGATCAATTGTTTGTATACGCTTTCAAGATCGCTATGTTCACAGATCACCGCAAACAAATCGTTTTGTTGTTGTTGTTTCCCAGCAATGAGATTCAACTTCAATTAAAGTCTCACAGAATTTCTTACGAGTGCAAGAGTTGAATAAACACGCATAAAACACCATCCAACAATGACACTTTGCGGACACTGCGCAAAATTCATAGGGAGGCTCGTTCTGCTCTAGAAGCACTCCTATAAACTAAGCTAAGTGAGAGATAAATCCTCCGAAATACATCGTTGAACGGTTGCATATCTTTTGATCGAGTTTTCTTCTCTCAACTCACTTGATG